GGGTACTTCGTTTCCTTGACACTTTGCTAAAAATTCTGTCGAGATACTTACATGAAATGTATGCAACATTCAAATTTAATATGCATCATTAATCAGGAATAAAAGAAATTATTTATTGTTTGCATTTGTTCTCTAAAACTTCAAAAATGTTAGGTGAACACTTAGAAATTTGGTTCAGTGTATTTAAAGAAAATTCTGAATAAGCTGAGTAATATCAAATAACTTGGATGAGATGGTAACATGTTCAGATCGCAGATTTTAAAAGAGCATGGTCATAAAAAAATTGAGTTGAATGATAATATAAAGTTAATATGAAGTTATTCAGAAGTGTGTAACAGGAAATCATCCAATATGCATTTCTTTGCTTACTTTGCGACTTGAAAAGGACGGTTATCGCAAAGTGACCAGGACCCATTCAATAAAAACGTAATTGCACATTTTTGTATTGAATTAATGAAACACACAGTGGTATCTCTCGGAGAACTTCTTTTCTAAATGCATACTAATTGTTTTAAGTATTAAAAAATTACTGAATGGGAGTATAGTGCCTGAGTATTTATGTACCTTTTTCTTTAAATAGTTTTTGGAATGTTCGATAAAAATGTGTATGCTTTTTACAGGTCGTAGGTGAAGACGATCCAACATATCCCTCTTCAATTTCACACTTAATTGAAAATTGTAAAGTAGGTAAGTTTGTATTCATAACTCTATTATTCATTATGTAGCATTGTTACCTGTAATGTGATATTTTTAGATTTATTAAAATTCATGTTTCTCTCGACATCTACTTTTAAAAACAAAATCAGCGACGTCAGTCGGACACCTCTTTGTAAAAAGTTGTCACGTCTATAAAATTCTGACAAGTGGAGGGGTACACAGATAAGGTGTAGCAAGGTAAAAATTATCTGCATTAATGATTAAATCTTCATTCAAACATATGTTGTACACAAGTCCCTCTTGTCACCAGCATGGTGACTAAGGAGCTGATCAGTATCTCGTAGGCCCAAGTTTCTCTATTAAACGAGGAAATGGTCCGGCGTCGGATGAAACCGTATACACCGAGGTTCGATTGGTCCTGACACTTAAAAATTCCCCACTGCTGAAAGGCCATAGGTTGACCTCAAGCATCTGATAACGTCTTTATACATTTATGAGATAATACATGTATAAGCTTCGGAAATTCCCCATTTATTATTTTTAATTAAATCAATGACTATTGCTTTTAACTAATTTAAGGCATTAACTTGATATACTTATGCATTTTATGGAACATAAAACACTTGTTCATCAATCCACACAATCGACATGTCATAGTTCACACATGCGAACTGATATAACATCACAAGCTTTGCTTCATAGCCTATAATTGTTGGAGGCGTATTTGGAGTTGAACCAAAACAATCTTTGTTGTACATACTACAAATGAAAAAAAATATGTATAATTTTGTGTACAGACTACCACGGTACACACGCACTCACACATTCTCAAACACCCTCCCTTATCATTTGTTTCCTGTATAGCACTGTGGTTAGATCTTCTACTCTAAAGTCACCTTTCCAGGACCGCTGTGTAACCAATAATCATTTTGAAGCAAAGATGACATTTTTTATTGATATCCTGTTGCATCATTCTTAAAATATACACAAAACCAAAGGCCAAAGAATGGTCTTAGCCTGTTTTTCAAACTTAATAACTTAATCGATGTCTGGTTTGTTACGTCACAGAACTAAATGTATTTTTGTAACATAGCAAACAGTTCTCATGCAGTCACGTGACCCTCAAAGGATATATAGAAAGAGGGGTTTTCAGTAGTACACATGTAGTCACGTGACTAAGGCGGGAATATATAGAATGAGAGTGTAGGCACAACATGTCAAAAGAGTTCAGACAAATTTAGAAGAAAACCTCAGAAGAAAAAGGTGAGTTTGGGCAAGGCACCCAAATTAGATGTTTTAGGATTGTCATTAAAGATATAATATCATTCTGCGATATGTTATCGTGCAAAGGATTCTATTTATTCTTATTCTTGGGGATGTCTAAATTAATTGGGTTGCATTAAAAAAAACTAAGATAAGCTGGTTACATGTTCATCAGATTTTTAGAGAGGATGATATTTTGATTACATTAATTAGAATGATTTTATGCATAGTTTACGCAAAATCGGGTGTTAAAGATGTGTGACAGGGAAATAATTCTTTGAGCACTAGCGTGCTTGAGGATCTCAACCTGAATCATTCCGTATTCAGTAAACAGTTTAAACGTCACTGTATGCTGTATGTTGAACTAATGAAACACGCAGTGAAGTATCTCGTAGGATTTCTTTCTAACTACGTTCTAATTCGAAACGAATTGAACGAGAATTTTTTTTCAACTTGAACATACTGCTTGTGATTTCACAGAAAGGTAAAGCATATTTATGTTTTGAACAAAATACGTAGTATATATATATATATATATATATATATATATATATATATATATATATATATATATATATAT